TAAAAGAGAAGGCAATCTTGCCAACGATATGGATTATCGGGGGGCTTGCTTGGTTGATTTCTGGAGTTTCTGCATGTAGCGGTCCTACTCTGTTTCGGTTTTGATATCATCCCATATCTGATGTTTACCCACAAACGAGGTGTCGAGGGTGGCCCCTATGACTTGTCTTGATAGTGCATCAGCGGCCTTATTTTCCTTTTCAAGTCGGTAGATTATCTCGTAATCATACCCAAACAATTTGGAAACCCACTTTTGCTGTTTTGGAGTGGTGATGCGCTGGTCCAACAAATGCTTGAGGCTGTTGTGCTCGGTCTGTATATAGAACTTATGCCCCATCAAATATGGTCGCCAGGTTTGGATGGCTATGACAACGGCTAGTAGTTCCTTGGCATAAGTAGACCAATTTGGGTTTAAGGCCCCTAGGACTCGACTCATGTAGGCTATTGGCTTCCCCTGTTGGGTGAGGGACTGCTCCAATTCCATGTCCTGAAGCGTTAGTCTCAATGGTAAAGGGGTCTATGAAGTTTGGTAGGGCTAAGGTTGGTCTGGTGGTAATGGCTTGTTTAAGGGCGTCAAAAGTTGATTCTACTTCAGAAGTCCAAAGGAAGTTGCCCCTTTTTAATAGATTATTGAGTGGCCTAGCAATACTGCCATAATTTTGTACAGACTTACGATAGTAACCGGTGAGCCCCAAGAATCCGCGAAGGTCGTTGATAGTACTAGGTCAGGGCCACTGTAACATAGCTTGTATCTTTCTTTGGTCCACCTTCACACTGCTAGCCGTAATTATGTGTCCCAAATATTCAAGTTCCTGTTTGCCAAACATGCACCTTTTTTGTTTGAGAAAGAACTGTTGTTGCCTCAAAATCCCAAAGGTAATTCTCACATGCTCTAGGTGGGCTAACTAAGTGGAACTGTAAATCAAGATGTTATCAAAAAACACCAAGATGAATTAGGGGAGATGGGGCCTGAAAATAGAATTCATGACTGCCTGGAAGGTGGAGGGTGCATTGCATAGGCTAAATGGTATAACCAAGTACTCATAGTGCCCGTTGTGCGTGTGAAATGTCGTCTTATGTGTGTCTTCGGGATGCATTTTGATTTGGTGGTATCCTGAAGTGAGGTCTAACTTAGTAAAATAAGTGGCTCCTTGGAGCTCATCTAACATGTCATCCACTGTCGGAATCGGAAAACGGTCTTTGATGGTGACCGCATTAAGGACCCTGTAATCAGTACAGAATCTCCAAATCCCATTTTTTTTTACCGATAATACCGAGGATGAAAAGGGACCAACACTGGTTTTAATAATTCATGTTTTCAGCATCTCCTGTACTTGTTTTTCAATCTCAAATTTTTGAAAGTGGGCATACCTGTAAGGCCTCACATTTATTAGTTTGTTCCCTCCTTCAATGGAAAGCGGTGGTCAAGTCCTCTCACTAGTGGTAACCCTTCTGGCTCCTAAAAAATATCACAAAATTCCTCCAAAAATTTCTGAAAATCTGGGTGAAGAGTTTCCTGTGTCCTCACCTCTGTGAGGCGACTGGGAGTCTGCCCGTCAAAGCAGATGGCCATGACAGAGGGCCTCTGCCTGAGAACCTTTGACAGAGCCTTCAGCAATGTTGGCTATATAGCTTGGCCACCTACTCCCTGCAACCGTCGGACTTGTCGTTCCCAAGAGAACTCCATTGTCAATCGCTTCCAATCACATGTGACTGTCCCCAATTTCTCCAGCCATTGAATTCCTAAAACCATATCCAAACCCATCAGTGGTAAAGACAAAAGGTTAGGGAGAATTAAGTACCTTGAAGGTTGACTAGGACATTTTTGAATTGTCCATCGCACTGGAGTGGTTGTCCGTTGGTGACCCGAATTGTAAACGGCTTGGTTGGCACCATGGGAAGGTTCAATCCGTTTGCCAATCTCTCACAAATGAAATTGTGGGTGGATCCGCTACCAGTGAGGGCCGCGATTTTCTGCCTTTTGATGGTGTTTGAGACTCTCATTGTGCGGTTGGATGTCCATCTCGACAGAGCGTGGAGTGAAATCTCGGGTTCCTCTTCTTCCAGATTTTCCCCTACTTCGATGGGGTTCCCTTCGAGAACGAGGAGCTGATCTCGCCGACATCGGTGGCCGGTTGTATATTTTTCGTCGCAATGGAAGCATAGCCCTTGTGCACCCTGCCTTTGAGCTTCCTCCTAGGAGAGTTGTTTTGGCTATTTGGTTTCGGAGGCTAGGGTTCTCGGCGGACTGGTGGTCAGGCCAAAGGTCAGGTTACGCCCAAACCGACCCACCTGGCATTGCTGCCCCAACCAATTTTCTTTCATGCGGGCCAGGCTAATTGTGTCTTTCAAGGTTCTGGGTTTAAACATACGGATTCCATCAGCGATCTCTGGCTTAAGCCTGCCAATGAAGGTGCCCACAAGGGCACACTGGGTCCAACCTTGAACTCGGTTACCCAGCCTCTCAAATTCTTTTTGATAATCCCTTTAATGAGCCCACCAAACGGATTTTGGACAAGACCTCGTCGAAATCTTCACACTCAGTCGGCCCGAAGCGGGCCCAGAGTTCCTCAATAAATTCGGTCCAAGTCACTGTGTGGCCTTCCTCTTGGTACGTTCTCTGCAACTATTGCCACCACTGATTTGCCTCTCCTTCAAGGTGAAAAGCTGTTAGTGAAACCTGGTCGATGGTTCCCTAAAATTCGAAGAACTATTCTACTCGGCTGAACCACTCAGTGGGGTCATCTCTAGCAAACATTGGAAATCCAACTTGGTCAGTCGTGGGTAAGGCCCTTGTTACCCTGCCTTTGTTCGTTCGTTCTCTTCCTCCGAGTGCGGCTGAACCATCACTGGTCTCCCGAAGGAGTGACCGGTGGATCGGTCTCGGTTTCGAATTATGGAGTCGGAAAGGCGCTGCAAATTTTCTTCAATCGCCCGCAGATTTCAGTCATTCCAAGTTCCAGTTGGCTTACGCTGTCCTGCAAGCCTCCCAGCCCTGTCTCAAGGTTTTCGATTCTTTCCTTATTTGTTGTCATGGCTGATCGTGTAGCTGATTCCCAAGCCCGTTCTCATACCAAATGTTAGAAAATACCTGTAATTTCTGGGTAAAAATGATCTGCCTTTCATTCATGATGTGGGGGTTTAAATACACAAAAAGGAGACAACCGCCTCCTACTTCTACGACTCTGGATAAGGCAAATAACAGATATGCAGTACAATAAGGATAAGAAAAATAGCAGAAAATCCAGCAGCTATGGAGAACGTGCTATGGAGACGTGGTGGCTGGCAGATCCGTTCGGCTTAGTGGATAGTGTTGACCAGTTCTTCAGGTGGAGGTGGTTCAGATCATGCGTGATGGGAAATCTTCCCCTCTCGCTTCTCATCCCAGATATTGCGGATTCTTCACTGGAATCCGCTGAGACCTTCGGGGCCCATGAGAGGGACTTTAAAGGCAGAGAGGCAATTGGCTACATTCTACACCTATCATACACCCAAGGGACCTCCTATGGACCCATAAAAGAAAAATGTGCCCTTGTTTAATATATATATGTGTGTGTGGTCTCAATCTAAGCTAACACCCTTTGGACTAAAACTTCAGTCAGCGGAATTCTTACTCCAAGAATCAGAATCAGCAATGAAAGTACAGCAGAAATAAAAAAATGGTTGCA